GTTGTGTTTAGCATTGTGAGGCCCTGGATTTTATCCCTCAGCACTGGTGGGCATGGTGGGGAGCATGGATACAGAATTCTTTTTTCCTCCTTCCCTAAATACTAAATAGAGTCAAGGACTGTGCTGAGACCAAGGAATTTGTTTGGCACAGTCTAATGTTGGAGTTTCACGTTGTGTTTTGGTGGATTAGACTGTGATTGTTCCATTTAGGGGCTGAAACTGTGCCTGAGTTTATTTTCTTGAGACAGCACAGAGAGTGACAAAATCAATTTCTAGGAGTTCAAGAGAGTTACAGAAGTGGAAAGGAACTCAGCTGAAATAAAAGAGTCTCTCAGATGGGAATGAAAGATTACATGGCAAAGCTTATGAAGATTCATAACAGAATGTGGTCTGTTATAAATTACATTTTTTTTAAGTTACACTTTTTGATCATTTGAGTTTATAGGACAAAAATTGTACCTCCTATGCTAGTCTACCTGCTGTAATTCTCCTGCCTCATATTCCAAATTTGATACATAGTATTGCCATTATTGTTATTTTCTAAACCATTTCCCATTACAACTTCTGTTTTCTCCTGACACAATAATTAACTCCACCCTATCTCCCACATTACCCAGATCCTTGCCCGTGCTAGCCAAGTGCTCTACTACTAAGCTACACCCCCACCCCATAACTCAACATTTTTATAGATGTAAAAATAGATTTTTTTCAAAAACTTAAATTTCATTACCGTGAAGAGTATTTTTGAAATTACTAAGCCTCAAACTGTGTTTAATTTTAATACTTGTTTTCTGACACATGGGAAATGCTGTTTTTGTTTTTCTGAGTACTCTCTTTCTCAAAGCTTTTTCTAATTTATTTTTATTAAACGCCATGTCTTTTATTTAAAAGCTAATGAGGTAAAATAATTTAAAGTCATCAACATAATAAAACCAACAAGATCACAAACATTTCCAAAATCAACTTTATTTGCTCCGTGGATCTCTGAGGAAATGTTATCTCCTCAGGATGACCTTGTGAATTTAAAAGAGAACTACATTGTCTTCCCCCCTCCACATATACAGGCTTTCAATCCTCTTACTTGGTGTTCTTTTTCTCTATGGAAATTTACCTCCATTGGACACTCTATATATTTTAATCCGTTTCCATGGTGATAAGACTCAAGGGCTGGGTTCCTACACTCATTCCGACTTGTTTACTAGTATCTTCTAAGTGTGGAAATCAAAATACACCCAAAGAACCAAGAAATTGCCTAGTGCTCAGAATGACTATTCAACATCTGGATTCCTGGGTGGTACAGAAACAGCACATTAATTACAATAATTTTTTTTTTTTTTTTTTTTTTTTACTTTTTCCTCCCAGCCCTTTCCTCCTTTAACGTGGTAAATAAAGTTTGCTGGCCTAGGAATAGCTTCCATATCAATCTTTTGGTCAATGAAGAGAATTTAGCGAAAATACAACTAATCAGCCAAGAAGAGGGGGGTAGGGGAGTGATCTAAGCAGTAGCCTCAATGGGGCATTCCCTGGCTAGATGTCCAGATTCGCCACAGCGGTAGCAGTTCACTTCGCTTGCCTTACTACAGTTCACTGCTACATGGCCGGTCTCGCCACATCGGTAGCATTTGACTTGGGTACAGTCTTTCTGGATGTGCCCGAATTCACCGCAAGAGTAGCATTTCTGTTCTTCCTGATGGTCACAATCACGAGCTAAATGGCCTGGTCTGCCGCAGATGTAACAGCACTGTTCTCTGTCTCTTTTAGGATCCATACAGTCTTTGGCGATGTGGCCACTTCTCCCGCAGTTGTAGCAGATGTTCTGGTGAAGGTCACAGTTTTTGACATGATGACCAGTCTCACCACAGCGGTAACAGATGTCAGATTGGGTGGTGGAACTGCACTGAGGACCTCTGCCACGGCCTCTAGGTCCTCGCCCTCGAGCTCCTCCTTTAGGGCACTCCCGGGCCCAGTGGCCAGACCGTCCACACTTGAAACATTCTTTACCGCTCATGGCCGCGGTGAGATCTTTTGGTGAGCAGGCCCACCCACCGGTGCCAGGGAGGCCCAGAGGCAACTCCCCTTAGGATGGCTTAGATGGAAATGACTCTTTTCCTACCGGGAGCTCTGTGACGTCACATGAGGTTTGCGCACGACCTCATTCACAGGTGTTCTAACCGCCTTCTCCCTCCTACTCAAGCAGTCAGAATTGATAATAGATTAAATGTTGTTTTCAGTTTGTTTGTTACCAGGTATTGAGCCTAGGGGGGCTTAACTACTGAGCCACATCCCCAGCCCTTTTTAATATTTTATTTTGAGACAGGGCCTTGCTGAGTTGCTTAGGCTTCGCCATTGCTGAGGCTGGCTTTCAACTCTGATCCTCCTGCCTCAGCATTCTGAGTCACTGGGATTACAGGCATGTGCCACCTGCCCGGCTCAGTTTTATTTTTAACATTTGAACCGCTAAGTATGAGTTTGTTAAGACAATGTGACCGGTACAATTTTTCATAACTAGGAGGCTTCCGGGCCCAAGGTTGTTAAGTGGTATGGCGCATGCGCAAGGCTCTGGGCTCACTCCCCCAGCACAGCCCCCCCCCCCAAAAAAAAAAGCCCTTTATTTGTGGTCTAGTAGATAATCAGTTTTTATGTATGTTTTGTGGATACAATATGTGAGAAGTTAATCCAATAAAGGAAAGAAATTATACAAATTAGACTATTTTTTCCTATCTTTTTTGTGCAGGAGCCGTGTGTGTGTGTGTGTGTGTGTGTGTGTGTGTGTGATGGAATCCAGGGCCTCTCACATGTTAGGCACCTGCTCTACCACTGATCTACATTCCCAGACCTTATTTATTGGGTTATTTATTTGGCCAGTGGAGGGTACTGGGGATTGAATCCAGTGGTGCTTCACCACCTTGCTACATTCCCCAGCCTTTAATTTTTTTTTTTTTTTCAGTTTGAGAATTTGACAGAGTGTTTTACTGAATTGCTGAGGCTGGCCTCAAACTTGTAATTCTCCTGCCTCAGGCTCCTGAATTGCAGGGAATACAGGCGTGTGCCACCAGCTTGGCTCCCAGAGCTCTCTCTCTCTCTCTCTTTTTTCCTTCTTTTTTGGTCATTGTTGTTTTAAAAAAATAAAACATGGGGCTAGTTGTGGCTCAGTGGTAGAGCACTTGCCTAGCATATGTGAGGCACTGGGTTCGATTCTCAGCATCACATAAAAATAAATAAATAAGAATAAAGGTTCATCCACAACTAATCCATCCATCTATCTACCTATCTACACAATAAAACGTGTGCTGATAAGATAGAAAAAAAATCTGTAAAATGCCACAGTGAAAAGACATGCTCAAAATTTATCCCCACCCCCACAAACTCTTCTTTGTTTAACCTAGGGACCATCTACCACTGAGCTAATCCCCAGCGCCCCCCCTTTCAAATTATTTATTTATTTATTTACTTATATATAGAATTTTAATATTTATTTTTTGGCTTTTGGACACAACATCTTTGTTTGTATGTGGTGCTGAGGATGGAACCCAGGCCACATGCATGCCAGGCAAGCATGCTATTGCTTGAGCCACATCCCCAGCCCCCCCCTCCATTCAAATTTAAAACAGGGTTTCCCTAAATTGCTAAGGCCAGCTTTGAATTTGTGATCCTCCTATCTTAGTCTCCCAACTAGCTGGAATTACAAGCATGCTTAGTCCATTTTATTGCAGGAATCTTAGTTTTCAACATTATCACCATCATTTAATTAATTATTATTTTTTTTTTTAAAGAGAGAGAGAGAGAGAAAGAGGGAGAGAGAGAATTTTTTTTTAATATTTATTTTTTAGTTATCAGCGGACACAACATCTTTGTTTGTATGTGGTGTTGAGAATCGAACCCGGATCGCACGCATGCCAGGCAAGCGCGCTACCGCTTGAGCCACATCCCCAGCCCACCATGATTTAATTTATAAAACAGAATAATATTGAAGCATTCAATATAAAAAAGCTTATTCCTTAGAAAACATATTACAAAGCCAGAAATATTTAGACATTTCTTCTTTGTTGTTTCCCAAATTGTTTATAGATTGTATAAACTTCACAAGGATTTATGGACATGATGTACATTCATAAAGATAACAGAAACAAATATTAGAGTAAGGGCTCTGACTCAGTGGTACAGCTTGTTCTTGGCATACACATGGTTCTCAATCAGATCTCTAGCACCACAAAAAAGATAAAGGGTGGGGGGAAACAACAGAATTAACACTGAAACATCAATTGTCTTCTTTGTTTTTCTATTTGCAGTGCTAGGGAGTGAACCTAAGGCCTTGTGTATGCTAGGTCAGTGCTCTATGACTAATGCACACTTTCCCTTTTTCTCTTCTTTCTTTCTTTCTTTTTTTTCTTTTTTCAGGTACCAGGGGCGCTCTACCTCTGAGTTACATCCCCAGTCCTTTTTTTTTTTTTTTAAATTTTGAGACAAAGTCTTGTTAAAGATTGCTGAGGGGGCCTTGAAATTTTGATTTTCCTGCTTTAGCTTCCTAAGAAGCTGGGATTACAGGCATGAGTCATTGAGCCCGGCTGACTCTTTCTTCGGTTTTTGCAAGTTTGTTTTTTTTTTTGTTTTTCCTTTCTTCTTCTCCCTTTTCTTTTACAATTTGTAATATCAGAAACAACAGGGGAGGAGTAAGAGGCCCGGTAGGGCTGCAGACCCTGAAGGCCAAGAATTGAAGTTTAGATCACCAAGGTAACAGGCAGAATAAAGGTAGTCAGACTTGGCGATGGAAGAGTGGGCTAAGAAGAATGGGAGACGGATTGACGAAAGAAGAATGGGCTGAGGAAAGTATGGTGTTGGAAGCTGGTGCCACGTAGGGGAGCCGAAACGTTGAAGAAGCAGGGTGGACTAAAGATCCAGATACTTGGTAATGGGTTAAGGCGCCTGCTTCGACTTCAATTGGAGCCGAGGGTGGGGTGGGGTGATTGCGCATGCGCCAGAAGCACACTGCGGAGCTACAGGACAAGCTGTGGGTTTCTGGCATCAGCCTTGCGTCTGGAGGCATGGCAGGTTTCCTGCCCAATACCCACTGCTTCTAAGGCCTGCTGCCGCCACCCAGGCATCTCTTGCTCTCTGCACACTGTCTTGGGACAGCCGGCTCTAGGAATTCTCGCTATGGCACTCGATTCAGCCAGGAGGTAAAGGAAGGACAGAGGGGGAGAACATAATGTGGAGGGTGGCCGAGGGAACTCGGGCCATGGAGATCCTTAATTTCTGCATTCCCCCCGATTGACGGGCGAAAATGAGGGCCAGTACGGGCTTCAGACCTCCAAAAAGATATTGAGCATTTATTTCCCATTGTGAAAGGGATACAAGCTTTCCTTTAAATAGCGTTGAGGCACCTGAGCATCGGTATTTTCTATAATGCCTCATGTTTAAACAGTTTTGGGGGGGCGATTTTCCTATTTGCAGCAGGTGAGGGTTTAGGATTAGGCTCATCCGATGGTTTATGAGAAAGCTTTCTAGCCTTTGTTCAGGTTGGCGGGCCTTATAATACATTATGTGAATCCGAGAGTACTCTAGCTCCTCCCTTGGGGTCGGGGAGGATAAATCTAGTTCTGGGATATGCTCTGATCACCCGTAACGCCTTTTTTCCCGTATTCAACTTCCCTAGTTTATCAGACTGTATTAGGGAAGGCTGGTAATGACTCATTTTGGGCACTGGGGCACAACTATAGCGAGAAACACATCCAGATATCATTAGGCCTGTGTGTGTATGTGCGCGCGCGCGAGTGTGCGTGACGGAGGTGGTAGCTGGAGTGGGGAGAATGAGGACAGGCGCGGTGTGCACGGCATTTGAGAGGCTGGGATGAGGCGGCGCGGCGCGGAGTGGCGGCATTCAAGTATTTTATGGGAAGGCCTAATGTGAAGCAAAGGGGCTCCCGTGGCGGGGAAGAGAGAGGCACGCAGGCGCAAGGCTTGGGTGGGGGTGGGCGTGGAGGGTCGAAAGAGGCGAATTCTGCGGAGAAATCAAAGTTGCGCCAGCGGTTGGAGGGGCGGGAGAGAGAGCGAGGGTGCGCATGCGTATTTCAGACAACATGGTGACGGTTGAGTTCAACTGTCGGGAAGGAGCAGCGTGCCTGCGTATTTCCGTCAGAAAGCCGGGAGGGAGGGAGGGAGGGAGGCGCGCTGCGCATGGGTAATTAAGGTTACAAAATGGCGAGGGGGTCGGTAAGTTGTCTTTGGCTGCTTTGGGCCAGAAGGGTCTGCAGAGAAGCAGATCTTCCTTTCTAGTTAGTGAAGGGATCAGCCTGATTTGAAAGTTATAGGTTGTGGCTAAATCCACAAGGAAGTAACCCGGAGTCTTAGCTTCTTACTGGCTTACGGATAGTGTGCGTTTAAAAATGCGGAGATGACTGTAAAAGGTTGCGGCAGCTGGCTGTGTGTAGGAGGGGCGTAAAAGGTCATCACTTAGAGACCGTTCTTTGCCACTTTCTGAATATATTTCAATATATATTTGAAAGGCTTTCGGATTTTGGGCCGCTATATGTGATTCTGGATACATTTTTTTCATCGCATCGGAATAGCACAGCATAGTGGTTGCAATGTGAGAAACTACTGTTATGTTGGTTGAAAATCTCTGATTTTTCTCCCCTTTAGAACATAGGGGTGAGGATTTAGCTGTTTCCAAATGTTTGTTAGATTTTGCTTGAAACCTGGGATTTGGGCAAATGGCTGCCAGGGGCACCCAAAGGGCAGGGAGAGAAATTTGAAAAGTATTTAGTGGTTATGGTAGTATGAAAGTGACCTGGGCTTACACACTTTTCTCTAAATTATTTTTTCTTCTGAAGAATTTCCTACATGGTTTCCTCGGGGGTGGGGAGTGGTTGGGGATTTATGTTTCTCTTTTTTCCTTTTTTTTTGGGGGGGCAGCTGCAGTGTTGTGGCTGAGTGCTGCCAGTGAGGATGTATTTTGTTAAATTCTAAAAACAATAGTTAACAGATATAGATTGTAGTGGAGAGGGCTCAGGATTCAAAAGTGAAGAGACAGATCTTTTCCAGTAATCCTATTCATGACCTTAGGCTAGTCCTTTTCCTTTTCTGGACCTATTTATAATAATTATACTTAAATGTCTAGTATTTACTAGTGCAAAGTACTGGTTGGCCTACGTGCTTTTACATATTCTTTAACTCATTTAGTATTCTCCACAATCCTATGAAATAGCAGTACTTTGTTCATTTTTTACAAATGAGAAATTTGAAGGTCCCAGATTAATTTGTCCAAGACTGTATAGCCAGTTGAATGGCAGACTGGATTTTAATATAGATAGTATATGTCCAGAATCCTGTGGGCCTAAACATTGTTTTATTTCCTAAAATAAAGGGACACATTTAAAGGAAACTTTTCGTTTTGAAATCATAAAACTCAGCACCACATTAAAAAAATAAAATAAAGATGTTGTGTCCACCGAAAACTAAAAAGGAAGGAGACCTGTTTACTGCTTTTGACTTAGTTCACTGTACAGGCCTATATATGCAGGAATAAAAAAGTAAACAATTGTTGATTTGGAGCCTCCTGGGGTTCCTATCCTCATCTACACTTTTTTTGTTGTTCTATAGAGGGTCTAAAATGGCCGACTGCAGCAGGCTGGACACACCCTCCCTGTTTTGGCCTGATTTGTGATCTGGTCTAAGGCTTTGAGACAATCAGTCTTTGCTGTAGTAGAGATTTTTTTTTTTTTAATCTTAAGATTAATGTTTTGGTGCGTTGATCCAAATGTGGGGTAGTAAAGATTATTGCCTCTTCTGTAATTAAGGACTGAAAATACAAGTATTTGTATTATTTGGTTAAGATAACATCTGTTGAATTGGAATTACTACATAAAGGCTATGAATATTTTTAACACCCAATATATATTGCCAATTTTCTTCCTTAAAACTTATTTTTATAAATAAAAGCCATTTTTTCCATTTTTTGGTTATTGATGAGATTAGGTTGCTTTTTCCTTAATTTTTTAGAATTTTTATTTACATTAATGTGATGTAGTTCATATCTTACACTGATTTATCTATTGGAGTTTTAAATTTAGTGTTTATTATTTTCTATTAGATTGTGTTTTGTAAAACACTCAGATTTCTGTAATATGTTATAAATACCTATTTCAAGTTATTTTTTGCCTTTTCATTTTTGTTTTTATATTTGTAGTCGAGGTGAAATCATTGGATCAAATCGACTTTATTCTTTTGATTTTTCTTTTATTAAGTTTGAATAGCTTCCTTAATCCAGAAATTAGATAAAATATTAGTTGAAGCTTTGTCTGAAGATAGCCATCAATTGTGGGGAAAGAAGGTCTATAATTTCACCACCCAGAGACAACTAGTATTAATAAATTTGTTAATTTCTTTCTTTCCATTTTTCTATACTATTTTATACTGCATTTTGTGTTTAACATTATAACATGCATATTTTCATGTTAAATATTCTTTGTAATTATCATTTAATAGTTTCATGATATTCTGTTGTGGAAGTATTTTATAGATTTTCAGTAAATTATATAATGAATGTTTTTTCAGTTTCTATTACTTGTCTATTTTGGGTTATTTACTATATAATAAAGTTCCAGAATTAGAATTATTTGTCAAAAGGTTTGAGCATTATACATATTCAGCATAACCCCAAAAGTTACATCAGTTTCTGTACCCAGTTATTTAGGTACTTAAATTTTTTAATTTTTGCTACCTTAACACTTAAAAGAATGATACCATTGTTTTATCACACATTTTTCTGATTATCAATGAGGCTGGACTTTCAGATCTTAATTATTATTTTTGGTTCTGGAGATTGGATCCAGGGCCACCAGTCAGAAGTCAGATCTTAGTTATTAGATCTTATTTCTTTTTGTGAATTACTTGATTTGTGCCTAAACGTTATCTATTTGTAAATGACATTTGTTGCCAATACACTCCTGGTGTGTTTGTTGCACTGAGTCTTAAGAAATATTTGTGATTCCAAAGATGACTGCTCTGTGAAATATGTATCAGGTTCTTGGTAGCCATTTTGATATAACACTTGTCTGTCCTTTAGAAAGATAGCCATTTCTTTTTATTAAAAGGAAATCATTTTTGAGTGCTGCACAGAAGTGGTGCTCCCTGGCTGTGGTTGTGGGTAGAATACATTTTGTCCCTAAAAATAAACCAACTTGGACAAGAAACAAAACAGTAGTCTAGGGCTGGGGATGTGGCTCAAGCGGTAGCGCGCTCGCCTGGCATGCGTGCGGCCCGGGTTCGATCCTCAGCACCACATACCAACAAAGATGTTGTGTCCGCCGAGAACTAAAAAAATAAAATAAAATAAAAATAAATATAAAAAAAAAACAAAACAGTAGTCTATCCATTCAGGGATTGATCTTATTTTAAACATTTATTAGTTTCTTTGCATGGTGGTGCACACCTATAATCCCAACAACTCTGGAGACTGAGGCAGGAGGATCACAAGTTCGAGACCAACCTCTACAATTTAGCTAGAGTGACTCATACAACAACAACAACTTAAATCTCCAGTACTAACAAAAAATAAAAAATAATAGTATGGCTCAACCTGAAAAAAAAAATTACGGGATGGGACACAGAAAAATTTCATCCTGTATAAAACTGTCTGAACAAATAACTACAATGGTAATCTCTTTTTTTTTTAAAGAGAGAATTTTTAAATATTTATTTTTTAGTTTTCGGTGGACACAACATCTTTATTTTTTTTATGTGGTGCTGAGGATCAAACCCAGGGCTCCGCTCATGCCAGGGAAGCACATTACCGCTTGAGCCACCTCCCCAGCCCACAATGATAATCTCTTGAAGGAGTCTCTTACTGTCACCCAATTATGAAAAAGGGAGCAGGAAGAGTGTGTTACCTCTTTCATTTTTCTTGTTTGTAATATGTTAGTGAATTAGATCTGTCTCAGAGATCTTGAGGGAGGGGTCTCAATCTGCTTTCCTGAAACTAGATTTGTTATTTCTGCTTTATAGAATCTGTTTAATTATGTTTATTAAATAAACCCTTCTAATTTGTTATTCCTACTCCATTAGCCATATGCTATCTATTTTGCATTTAATAACATTTCAGTGAAGGGCGGGGATTATTGGATTTAGAGGTGCCAAATGAACCAAATTGATTTTTGCTAACTAGTTACACTGCGTTAAT